TCAGGTAGAAAACAGCTGATTTAGAAGCAGTGCATTTCTGAATATCTTTTCTAAAAGGCTTTGTTTACATGGATAGAAACTGATTTCTTTTTTCAGTAGGTAAGAAAGGTCATTAATAGAAATCACTTCCCTTCCACTTTATAAATGATGAACACTTTTTATGACCTTATTAATATGGTTAGACCACAGCTTTAGAGTATTATTGTAAACATCTGTGCATAATTTAGTGGCGTAAAACTAAGGAATTTTGCAGTAAAAACCTTATCTCAAATAGTAGGTAGTTTGTGTGTGTGTGTGTGTGTGTTTGACTATACATCAGACAGTAATACACATGAATACTTTTTTACTACCACTACAATATTGCAATATTGTTCCTGGAAGATACATTTAGTATTCCAAAATGTAATGACAGAGTAAATACCTCCAAGCTGCTAGAACTTCAAAAAATTCTAACCTCAGATGAGAAGACATACCTGTAGGTCAACGTTTTCCAAAATGTAGGTCACTTGTTTTTAGATCATAAAAGAATTTGGGGGTCATGAAAATTTTAATGAAAAAGAAAAGGGCAAAAACATCAAACTTGCAAGAGTGCATCTAGGGGAACCTGGGTGGCTCAGCTGGTTAAGCATCCAACTCTTGATTTCAGCTCACCTCATGATCTCACAGACTGTAGGCTCCCAGAACCTCCTTGAGATTCTCTCTCTCTCTGCCCCTCCCGTGCACATGTGCCCACGTGTGCTCTCTCTCTCAAAATAAATAAACTTAAAAAAAAGTGCATCTAAAATAGCAAAGTACATTTTATTTCGTGAAACTCTGTTTTAGTAGGAATTGAGTACAATATAAAATGTTTTCTTACTGGGTTTTTAACGAAATCATTTGAATCTGGAGGATGTTACGCTAAGTGAAATAAGCCGGGTACAGAAAGGCAAATACTGTATGATCTCACTTTTATGAGGAATCTAAAGGAGTAGAAGTCATAGAACTAGAGAGTGGAGCCAGTAGCTGGAGGGTAGGGAAAACAGAAAGATGTTGGTCAAAAGATACAAATTTTCAGTTATGAGATGAAAAAGTTCCAGGGAATCCAATGTCTAGCAGGTGATTATAGTTAATGATACTCTAATGTATACTTCAAATTTGCTGAAAGAATAGATCTTGAGGCACCTGCGTGGCTCAGTCGGTTAAGCGTCTGACTTCAGCTCAGGTCATGATCTCACCACTCTTGAGTTCGAGCCCCGCGTCGGGCTCTGTGCTGACAGCTCAGAGCCCGGAGCTTGCTTCGGATTCTGGGTCTCCCTTTCTCTCTCCGCCCCTCTCTCACTCACGTTCTGTCTCTTTCTCTCAAAAATAAATAAACGCTAAAAAAATTTAAAAAAAGAATACATCTTAAGTGTTCTCACCATGCACATGAGCTCACACACACACACACACACACACACACACACACACACACAAGTGTGAGGTGACAGACTTGTTAATTTGGTTGTGGTAATTATTTCACAATGTATACATATATTATCACACACCTTAAAAAATCACACTGCACAACCTGTACAATGTGTAAATACATACAATTTAACTTTGTCAATCCTGCCTCAAAAAAGCTTGAAAAACCATTTTTAAAAACTCCAAATAATTTTAAAAACACAGTTCTAGGTCTACCTTCTCCACGGCTCTGACATGAAAGTTAAAACAAATGATACGCTCAAGTGAACACACATTACCCATCTGATACTTTTAGCACTTTCCCCCCTTTTACTACTTACTCCTAGTTAAAGGAAATGCATAAATCTGTATTCACCACTCACTAATTAGGGTTCTAAATAGATATAAATATAGTGGAATGTTTTATAAAAGTTGATGTTGCAACTTGGAAAGCATTTTCACGGAAAGATAACCCACTGTGCAAAGTGAAGGTAACTCAGAGTTTGAGTGAATTTTACAAGTTGAATCCATTGTCAAAACTAATGAGTCCTGAAATTAATTACAACATGGAGGGAAAAATACAAGGAATGGGTGAAAAAAAGTACTGAAAATTCTCTAACTTATAGGGTTAGTTTGAATTCATCACCAAAGAACAATGCTGTCCAAGACAGAATGAAAAGGCTTGTGAACCATTTGAATTACCTTCATCTTGGACCACAGAACTTACTAACTAAAAACAAAACCAAGATACAAGTATCTATTAGCAGACAGTACTTGAGTGTCTCTATAATGACCTCTCAATGCACTATGCTAGAAGTGGTGTGTGTGTGTGTGTGTGTGTGTGTGTGTGTGTGCGCGCATGTGTGTGCACATAGTAATGTTATCAGTGACTGCTTTTCTCTTCTAAATTGTCTGTATCTTCTACATTTTCACAACCAAGCTATTTTTAAGTTTTTTTTTTTAATTTATTTTGAGGAGGGGAGAGTGTGAGCAAGTTGGGGAGAGGGGACAGAGAATCCCAAGTAAGCTCTATGCTATCTGCGCAGAGCAGGACACAGGGATCGATTTTACGAACCATGAGAAAGATCTTTACCTGAGCCAAAACTAAGAGCCAGATGCTCAACTGACTGAGCCACCCAGACACCCTTACAACCAAGCTATTTTAATAATAAAGTAAAGAAGGACTGACATTCATCAGTGTTCATGCTGCTGATAAGAAGAGGGTAGATATAATACAGACTATTTCCCTTTGTTAAAGCAAACATTAGTGCCCTGGGATTAACTTATTTTTCTAAATTATTTTCTCGGTGTTGCTACTTGCACTAAGTTACTCATACATTTAATTGAGTTTGGTAAAATGCTTTAAATACAGATGAAAATTGCCTTCTGTAAACTCCATATGTATTTGTAGGATGGATGAATGTAGTCATATACTGAATCTCTTCCTTCTTTATTTTTTAATAAACAGTTTAAATGAGTATAGACATAACTTTTAAAAAATGTATGTGCATCTATATTTACCTACTAATTTTTCTGAAACTTGAGCAGTAATAACTGATGTGATCTTGACTTCCACTATGTGTATAGGAAAAATAAATATTTGAAACAGTAAAGTATTTTCATTGGGATGTATAAGAGCAAGGTTATAGAAATGTTTAAATTTCCCATGAGTTGCCCTTAATTTGCACAGATTGTTGGCTAAATTGGCAAAAATTCTGAAGTCCAATTTTATCATATTTAAGCAAATCTGTTAAGGTAAATTAGTTGTTGCATATTGGATTCCTTTCTTCTTTCTTCCCTTTTACTTTTTCATAAAAATACAGTTTAAATTAGATGAAAGTATCTTAGAGTCCTAAATAAGATCAAATTAAATTAGGAAATTTTTAATGACCTGTACATTTAAGATACTATCATTACCATCGTAAGGGTTCATGTTACATGGAAAATCACCAGGAATTTGGGTTTGTTCAGAGAACGCTAGAAGGGAGGACTTCATACTTATATTTTTATGTATTTAGTCATTAGAAATGAATCATTAATCATAGTAAAATCTAACGGGGAGTTTTTCAACTATGGTCAATATTTGTATGTGTATGTGTTTTATGTGTTATTCTGGAATCTCCAGTTATTTTGTATTTGCTCTAAATCTCCCCAGGCGAATCTATACTGGGAAGTAGTGATAAAATATGGCTGATCAATCCATTTGAACATTCAGTAGAAAGCAAAACTAACAGCAAACACAGAAAAAGTAAACTTCCAGGCATTGCACAACAGCTTTTGATTTCAATAATTCGATACACCTCTGACATCATGGTCCCTATACCTTCCTTGAATCCTTCTCAGTAGTAGTCTATACAGCCACGCCCTACAGAAACACAAAGCTTGTTGTATGGAAAGATGCATACCCTTCAGCCAGAGATATTCTGTTAGTGAACACGAATTCAAATGGCCACAGTGTTAACTCCACAAACATTCCCAGAGGACCTCTAAAGTAACAGGTGCTATTCTATAGCCTAGAAGAGAAGAAGAGGCATCGCCTCATCCCTTAAAGACCTAACAGCCTGCAGGGAAACGACACGGACACAAATAGTAGGACGTGTTAGAAACCATGTCAGGTGCATACATACGGTATTCCAAGTGAACATGGAATATTTAGAAATCAGAGTCGGCAGTCTTACAGTTGAGCATTTGAGTGTTTGGTACATCTGTACAAAGCGCTCAGTCAACGTTAGCTATTCCCGTTTTCCATTTCTAAGGAGTTCTAACAAAATAAAAATATAACACTACGGCAAGGAATATCTAGAGAAATTTGATGAGAACTTTTACTGTTTATCAGTCCCCCTAGTTTTTCTCTGTTTATATCATCTCACCCTGTGATCCTAGCTTTCTTTGTACGATATTAGTCAAAGATTATCCCAAGATTGCTAAGTTTATTCAATTAAGAACAATTATGACCCCAGCCTCAGTCTAGGATACCATTGTGAGGTCATGTTTAAAAATCACCCTAAACCAAGACAGTCTTTCCTCAGTTGATGCACACATCTTGTCATTCCTCCCTGTAACCACCCTTCGTTGTTATCGTTGTTGCTGTTGTTGCGGTTTTCCCGACATATCACATAAATTTAGCGAGAAGACTTCGAGGCTTTGCTTTAAGCAGTTGAATATAACTTTAAAAGTCATAATTAAATTAACATGCACTTGTTACTAAGGGCAAAAGGTATCTGAATGTCCACCAAGTCAAAAACTGCCAGGTACTCTTCTGTTAGTAAAACAGACATTCTTCGTCTGTAAACGTAAAAAACACTCAGAGCACTACCCACCGTCCGATGAACGTGAATTAGCGCTTATCAGCAAGAGAAGGTTTTGGTGCTGACACAGCCTCCACCAACTTGCCTCCTCGCCCAGGCCTCACCTTCCCAGCAAGTGCCTGAGCACTCTGGGCAGCCAAGCGAGACCCTCACGAGTCTGAATCCGCAAAGAACCCCGGGCACACAACACCTACACGAGACAACAGAAGCGACGCGGGCTTGGGAAATCACGGCGGCCTCGGCAGCAGGCTGCGAGCGGGGCTCACTCACCGGAGGAGATGTCTATCTGGCTCATCTTGGTCTGCGTGACGTTGATGCGGACACCCACTTTGCTTTCGGTCAGGTCGATCTCCACGTTGCCCAAATTATCCGCAAAGTGACTGAAAAGCAGGAGGCCGTTTGGGTTCCAGGTCCTGAACTGGAAACTGACGGAAAACAGGTCCTGGTCAGGCCTTCCCGGCACCTCCAGGTAACTGGTAGCGTTGAAAAACACAGGCACCGTGTAGGGCTCCACACACGAGAAACTCAAATTCCCCTGTAAGACACAAGGATGCGCTTTGAGAGGCGCGCAGGATTCAAACGAGCAGTCCGCGTCCAAAGGCAGACAGAGCGACAGGTGTAGAGAGGCCGCGACAGGTGTAGAGAGGCCGAAGCCGAGCCTGGGCCCACGCGAGCTCTCCGACGTGGCAGCCAGTGCGGTGGGGATTCGGCAACCGGACGCCCGGGCATCACTCCACCTGCAGGGTGTGCCTAAGGGCGGCCGGCGTCGAGGTGAGGGATCTAAGAAGGGCCGTCTTCTGTGGAACTGGCGGACGACAGCCAACGGGGCGGGAGGCGTCCCTGCGGGGTGGGCCTGAGTGCAGACGGCTGGACTCCGTGAACAAGGCAGGGGGCTGCCGCGCCCCTCCCCCGGTACCAATGAGGCACGAGCCAGGGAGGAGAGGCCGCTGCCGGCTTCTGGACGGCCTTTGTCCAGCGTCCCTTCACAGGTTAGCGGGGCGCAGGGGAACTATGGCCATTCGGTTGCTATTTATTAACTGACATCAGGGGACAAAGATTCTTGGCTCTTATCCTTATACCTGATATATGTGAATTAATATTAACTGTAAGACATCAGCGTAATCGTGATTATTTCAGATTATTTTGTTATATTGTTATTGTGATATTAAATGTGCATAGATTATACTGAATTAGTGCTTCTGAAAACACTAATATGAACGTACAAAATGAAGAGAAACTTGATCATTAAAGCCTGCTCCTATCCCCTCCCACTCCCTCTATTTTGTACAGAGAAATGTGACTTACCATTCAGATACACTACTAAATGTTACATTCAGTGTGTAAGTATCTTCCTATTAAAGGTCTGAAAACCTACATTTGCTTCCAACTTCTTTTATCCCGCCATAATATCCTGAGGAATATAATTTGATGCCATTTTCATCGGGCCCTTCAATCATTTATTTCACAACACCACGGTGTCTACGTTTAGATGGATGGTTCTTCCATTTCAGCACATTAGCCATCACATCTAAGGCAGGCTGTCCCTCTGAATTAATATTCAAATTAAATCTGCAGCTTCACTTCACAGATGGTCATTTTTAAATGCTTGCTTTTACTGATGAAAAGAACTGCCTTCGCCTAATAATGGAGATGTTATAAATGACCACATACCTGGGTTGTGGAGATTGTCTCCCTGCAAAACTAAAGGTCCTTCCTGAGCAAAAATGCTGACTCTGGAGTCAATGTGTAATGAGGTGCCAGAGGAGGTCACCAGAAGACTGCCAGCTGACCCCGGAGCAGGACTGGGACAATTAATTTTTTTTTTTTCAACGTTTATTTATTTTTGGGACAGAGAGAGACAGAGCATGAATGGGGGAGGGGCAGAGAGAGAGGGAGACACAGAATCGGAAACAGGCTCCAGGCTCTGAGCCATCAGCCCAGAGCCTGACGCGGGGCTCGAACTCACGGACCGTGAGATTGTGACCTGGCTGAAGTCGGACGCTTAACCGACTGCGCCACCCAGGCGCCCCAGGGACTGGGACAATTAGAGGCTCCCCACCTCCTCCCCCATCCTTGGAATGTTTGCTCCACTTGCCTCCTTAACTCCCGGAGGCCGCTCCAAAGACAGAGACTTGAGACAGAGATGCAGGGTTGAGGCTATCTGAACTGGGTACTTGAGTGAAGTCAGTTGGGTCCTCCTGTCTCCATAAGTGAATCCAGTTAAGACCTCTATAAAACTTTTCAGACTTGGCAGGCAAGGCAGAGATCTACTCATCTCCTGGCTGCCCAAGACAAGCCTGGAAGTTCCCTTGCTTGTCTTGAAGCAAGTCCCTTGCTTGTCTATGAAACCGGCCACATACCAGGGGGATGTGGTCTGCCTCTTTCTTCTGTCTCTCCCTGCCTCGGCATCCAAAGGCTGTTTTCAGACTACACCCAGGAAGCTCTCCAGGAGGTTGTGAACCAATATGAGGAAACGTGTTTGTGCGTGAAGACAGGGTGCAGGAGGAGTGTTGAGTCAATTTCACTGAAATACCAGCACTTGACATCTTTGAAAGCAAATTCCCTTCATGAATATTCCCTTTAGAGTTGCTTACAAAATATCCTACTTGTCTCTATTCTGCCTAAAATTTTAATATGTACACGTTTTTTGTTTAGAAGCTTATTCCATGTGGGTTCATTCTATCTTAACAAATATAATTATAGATAATTTATATCTATCTTTATTAAATATCTTTGTTATTCACGTTAAAATAGCATTTGTAACTACAATATATTTTGCAGTTAAAGTTGCCATGGGAATAAGTCTCCATAGGAAAATCCTTTATAGTTTGGGTGTCTAATGAATGCATCTCAGGACCCAATGGGAGGTTTGGGCAGAAATAACACTTTACCACTTCCTAAAGGTGCAGATAATAGAAACAGTATTCTGATGATTTGGCTTCTGTACCTTTTTATCTTAAGCAATGATTTCTGGGAAAACAAAAGGACCCTGGTGCCATTTTATCCAAAGCTTAAAAAAGCATATATATTAATACTGCTCTAGGTAGGAAATAACACAATATAGGAGACTATGACCTCGGGGGTCACACGCTGTGAATCCACTCACATTCATTTTGGAAAGTTACTTTTCCAGGTAAAATCTCACATTTTTTTTTCATCTACAAAACGTGTATGACAACATCTTTACTCATACTGTAGTACTATTCTCAGATTACCATAAAAGTAACATTCCTAGCACAGTGCCTGCTGTCTATAAATGGAACTATTTTTCTCTATATTAATGTTTGATGAGATAATTTCAAATTTCAACTTTTTAGTCAGTATGTACTATTATTTTTAAGAAAAAATTATTATTAAAGAAAAATTTCACATTAATTATTTTATACCTTAATAATTTTTTTTTATAACTGACCTGAGACTCCTGTTTATTCATTACAGGATTTCTTTTTGTCCAGTCATTTTGTAAAAAAAAAAAAACCCTAGGCTCAAATGCAGGGCAACAGACCATCAGAGCTCTTCTGGGACATGAGGCAAGCATTTGTAACGTTATCTACTGTTAGTGGTTTCTCGAATGCGTGGGTCTCCGGAACCCCAGACTCTTCCAAATAATACTTGTAGATTGAAGTTAACTCCTACTCTTGCAGAACAACAGGGGACACACACTATATTTTTCAGCTGGTATCTTTCAGTGATGCTAAGCAGTGTCATGGAGAAGCAGGTATGCTAGAGCATTCTTCGATTTTTGCTCTCCTCCTTTAAACAGTTAAATCTGGAAACAACTCCCAGAGGGAGCTGGAAGAAGATCCCTGTCAGGCTCTATGTCACAGCCTTCACTACCCAGTGGCAATCGATCCTTATTTAACTGCCTGATATTTAGTATGTTCAGGCTTTCACAAAAAGCGTATTTATTTACTGATCTGTATGCGTTATCTCTGGAAACATACAAGTGAGTACAATCAAGTTCCTGGATGTAACACTTTCTAAAATATTGAATTAAATCATAAACAAGAATTGGAAAGCCATATATGATCAGACATCTGGAGACATGATGCTGCCAGCGTAAGGGCTGCTGACCTGCCAGGACAAAGCACAACTGAGGTTCGCCTGTCCCTCTGAGGCAGGGAATCCAGAAACATGGTGTCAAAATCCTGTGCCCCATCTGAGTGAAACTTACCATCTATTCCACTCGAATCGACCTCAAAAACCATTACCTATTCTCAGAATATATCCACTCGTTACACATTTTTAGGCAACTCTCAAGTTACTTTTACACTGTTGAGCCCCACATCGGCATGATGACAAATGCTGTGTGACGCTGTTCGATACTCCACAGAAAACAAAACTGTGACGTTTCTCTACATCAGTATTTTGGAGTGAGCAATCTTACCACATTTGAGGGCTCTAGTTTCTTCCTTTTTGCAAGATCAGTTATGTTGATACCATTGTAATTAATGCTTTCCATGCAGCCTTTGAAGTTCTTTCTACTGCTGGAACTTGGCTTCCCAGAGAAGGGTATGCCTCCAAAGGTTATCTTTGAGAAAAGAAAATTATAAAAGTTCACACTGTGTTTGACTTAAACAAGTAACATTCACAATAAATTAGACAAAACTGTTAATACAGCCAAAGTCAATTATCTTACCTCTCCTAGAATATACAGACATTTTTTCTTCCTCCAGAATCCGTTGCATATTAAATTATGTTGTTATGGAAGTCCATAACAATATCATTAATTCTGGCAACTAGATTACGATTTTAATAAGTAAATAGTAATAATCTTTTCCAATGTAGCCACTCAAAAGGCATTTTATAAATTTTCCTGAAATGTTTCAAAAGATTTTATTGAGGACGCTTCTTTTATTAAGTAATATTAAAAACATATTTTTATGTTTATCATTCAAAGATATACTAATCAAGGCTTCTAGTCATCATGAGATACCTAGTATGAATATACTACTACCCTGAAAAAACTGCAGCCCAAAGCAAGAAATACTGTATTTATCCTATGTAGACTTAATTTTACTCTAAAAAACCATTGAGTCAAATATTCACTAGACTTATTCGAATACAGAAAATGGTTCAAAAAGTCTTGTTACTACATTAAGAACATACTAGGATGTGGGGGCTATGATGTGAGCACTGAGGCTGAGAGATATTATACGTCTTCTGAATCCTAGGGAATAAGCTGGACACCCCTTACCGTGATTCTCTGGCTGCTATCACCTATAAAAAGACAGTACGTATTTTTCCATGTATCTTTGGCCAAATTACAGCAGTATAGTATCAACTTCCTATAATGTAAAATTATACTTAATATATGTATTGCCATAATGATATTTACTGCTAATAGTGAATTAGTAGTAAATTCACTAGAGCTGCAGTACCAAGATATATAACCCAGATGTTATTTCTCTTTTAATTATTATTCAACGGTACCATTATTAACTTTTCCTATAAAGCTTTGAAAATGAAAGCAGTTGTTAAACATTTTTGAACATCAAGACTTGGTATTTGAAACATAAGAAACAGACCTTTGTGTTCTAGGAGGCCATTAGCAAATTATGGTCTTTTATTTAGTGTCACGGCATTGTAGAGGCTTAGTTTTAGGGGAAAAAAGCACAAATTAATAATAGTTTATGAGACAATATAAAAAAACAAAGGACCTCACTGAAAATAAAATTTGGTAATAATGGCTAGTTGAAAATGTATCATTTACCACAGAGTTTATGTATGAAAGAAGAAGGGGAGATTGAGAATAAATATATAGAAAGGATTAGGAAATGACAAAAGGAAAATTATACTGTAAACTAAAACAGAATACTAGGAAAATATTTTCAAGTGGCACTAAACTGAACTTATTAGGTCCTAACTAAGTATATTTAATACCAAAGGTAAGAATTATTGATAATTACGTGGAGTGTTATAATTTCCATCTACAGTTTATTTTACCAGTTCTTTCCCAGTTGATAGAATAAAATTTTCTATGCTTAATGACATGCATCGCAGTTTTTAATACTTTTTTTTAAGTTCATTTATTTTTGAGAGAGCAAGTGCGTACAAGTGGGGGAGGGGCAGAGAGAAAGGGAGAGAGGATCCCAAGCAGGCTCCGCTCTGACAGCGGGGCTTGATCTCACGAATCATAACCTCAGCTGAATTCAAGAGTCAGACGTTCTACCGACTGAGCCACCCGGGTGCCCCATGCAGTGGCACATTTTGAAAGTTATTACTAAATACTAGTTTCAACATACTGTCTCATTCTTTCTCCAGGTGTATGGTTTATTTATTTTGGAACTTTTTTGGAACTTTTTTCTTTGGGATGACAATTAAGCACTCCTCTGGTTTCCCTGCTTTCAGCAACCCTCAGCACATGTCCTACCTCATCATCAGAGGTGCCCTAGGGAAGCAACAGAGGCTCAATTTACCAGATTTCCTCACAACTAGGAGACGTGGGTTCAAATCCCAATTCCTAGTACAACTAATCATGTGATATTAGATTGTCACTTCTTCTGATTATGCATTCTCATCAGTAAAATGAAGTGCCTGAAGTGCCTGATATTGTAATTATTCAGATAGCCAAAAAAACCCACCATTGCAGTTGCTAGATAATCATATATTCATATAACTCACGATTGGCTTACTGATGATGTCACCATTCAGTAACAACCCTGACTGTAAGGAAATAGCCACATTTACCATTTTGTTAGCTGCCAAGGGTTTGCACAGCGCGGCAGAGACTGCTAGATAGCTCTGAGTGTCCTTTCTCACACCTTCTTTAGGGAAATGCAAATGTTCTTCAGCGTGCACAGAGCTCTCCAGCCAACCTATGGCATTCACCAACCTCCGTGAAGCAAGGTTTGGTCTTGTGAGAATAAAGTAGGACCCTGTGTGAGTCTAAGAACTATAAATGAAAGGGGAGGTGAGCACAGCCTCCTCCACTCTTCCTTCCCACTAGGAATGCAAGATGGAAGGTGAAGAGCCATCGTGGGATGACTTGCAATGGGGGTGGAGGAGCGGCAGGGTAAAAGCAGACTGGGGTCTTGATGACCACGACACTGCCATGTGAGCCCAGGGCTACCTGCCCACATCACCTTCTATATGGAGGCATCTGTCACATAACCGACAGGTGGGGTGGTTTCTATTGCTTCCTACGCTTCTTCAAGTGCTATGACAAAGGAGTTTTACATTCACTTTCCAAAAGGGGACTATGATTTGTCCACTGTCACACACCAGTAAGAAGCAAAAAGGGACACAAACCCAGGCCTTTGGGTCCAGTTTGAGCCGTGCAGTTGATTCTCTACGAAATCCTAGCTGGTTTCTCTCTCAAATCCTAGCCTAGCGCTCCAGCTATCAAGGGGCATGCATTCCTCTACTTCCCAAGCAGAACTGTACTGCAAAGGCAATGGCATAACAGGCACAGAGGGTGTGTCCCAGAATTTAGCTGAGGAAAAGAGAGAAGCCAGGCCAAACGTCAGTGTGTGGTCCTGCCCTTTGGCCGAGATGAAGGATGTGCATCTGTTTTCCTTTGTACTTTCTCAGGGCAGCACGGGGCTAGCAGTTTACCTGCAAATGGTGACTGGCTCACTCTTCAGTGTAACTAGGCTCCAGGAGGTGAGTAAGGCGAACTCTTAAACCATCCTCCACAAGACAATGCCCACATTGAGTCACCTCAAAGAAGCAAACGTGTTTTCTACTGTTTCTTTCATGATGTACATCTCTGGGAATGGCTATAGGTATTAATTTACCCCTATGGTGTGCTGAATCCTACTCATGCTGGCTCATGAAAACAGACTGTTAAACAGAGCCACTGTTAAAAACTAAATTATATAGATTTAAATTGAATTACGATAAACAAAACATAACCACTCAGAACGCATCTCTATATTTTTTTTTATTATGTATGTTCTTGAGATGATTTGTATTTAGTCTATATGATGGGATTACTCTATCATGGTGTGGTAAAATAAATATATTTGGTCTTTGTTCCCAGTTCCTGGCACAGAGCTCCTAAAACCCTTGGAATTTCCTGAGTAATAGGAATGACTTCAATTATTCATAACAAGCCCCACTTGGGGTCTGAGTCTAGTTATTGTATGGATGAGTCAAAGAAATATGTGCAAAAACACTGAGAGACTGACTCAATTCAACTGACTCCTGATTCTTTATCAATAAATTAACATTTTTCCTAGTGTCTCTAACAATGTCTCAGGCATTGTCGTCTACAGCTGAAGTTCTCAAACATGGTGTGTATAATTGATGGGCCTCAACGTGTCCAGGAAAGTGCTGACCCTCTATGCAAGGTCTTGTGTGTGCATGAATATTCATAGATTTCACCACAGACTCATAGAGTGTATGACCCCAAATTTTTAATTCTGTTTTTTGAAAATTGGAATTGTGTTTGCCCACTGCTAATGTTCCAGGATCTCTAATCTCTTGTATGATACTTCAGAGTTTATTAATGGAGGATGAATAATTCATCTTTAGGTTCTCTCATACAGGGAGAGATAAGCTACCTAAGCCAAGAAATACACTAATTTAGAAAAAAAAGAGAAACTTCTGGGATTTTAACACTCTTTCCCTTGCAATAATCATTTTGCTTTAAGGAGATTTTTGGGGAATGGATACAATTATTTTCTGATAACCTTAAACTTATTTTAATGTTAATAAAGTCTCAATATCAAGGTTTATGTAGCATAATCTATTTTAAATTCCTATACAGGAATGTATGTAACAGATTCATCTTGGAGACAATTTAGAAACTATTTAAATATTTAAAGAAAATATAGAGGCACCTGGGTGGCTCAGTCAGTTGAGTGTCTGACTTCGGCTCAGGTCGTGATCTCACAGTTCATGGCTCGAGCCCCCTGTCGGACTCTGTACTAACAGCTCAGAGCCTGGATCCTGCTTCGGATTCTGTGTCTCCCTCTCTCTCTGCACCTGCCCTGCTTGTGCTCTGTCTCCCTCTCTCTCAAAAATAAACACTAACAAAAGAAAAGAAAAGAAAATATAAAACACAGGTGTAAATCCTAACTTTTTCAATTATCTTATGGTAAGCCTATTACACATTTTTAAAAATCTGTGTGTGTGTGTGTGTGTATGTGTGTGTGTGTGTGTGTGTGTGTGTGTGTGTGTGTGTGTGTACACACAATTTCAAAACTGGGAGCGAGGCATACTGAGCACAGAAACCCCAAAGGGTCACAGCTACCATACACTTGATATTTTTTTTTTAAGTTTTTAAATTTATTTTGAGAGAGGGAGAGCACGTACACACACGGGCTGAGTAGAAAAGGGCTACAGAGAGAGGGAGAGAGAAAATTCCAAGCAGGCTCCTGCTGTCAGCGCAGAGATCGACGCGGGGCTGTCTCATGAACCGTGAGATGGTGACCTGAACCAAAACCAAGAGTCGGACGCTTAACTGTCTCAGCCACCCAGGCGCCCCTACACTTTATATTTTTATTTTTTTATTTTTTATTTTTTTTTAAACGTTTATTTTTGAGACAGAGAGAGACACAGCGTGATTGGGGGAGGGACAGAGAGAGAGGGAGACACAGAATTGGAAGCAGGCTCCAGGCTCTGAGCCATCAGCCCAGAGCCTGACGCGGGGCTCGAACTCGCGGACCGCGAGATTGTGACCTGAGCTGAAGTCGGACGCTTAACCGATTGAGCCACCCAGGCACCCCTACACTTTATATTTTTAAAGAAGACACAGTGATATTTGACATGTTCTGGGCATTATGTGAAACGCTAGCTTGAACTAGTTCACCGTTCCAACATCCTACTACACTGCTTTTGATGATTTCCTGTCTTTGTGAACATGAGTTTTTGGCTGTTTCTCTGATAAAAACAGTGTCACATGAAGGTAAAAGTGGGACAGAAGACGAGAATGGCAGTCAAATCTGATTCCAAAATCTGAGGAGCTAGACAGCATAGGAACACGCCGCCCATCGGCAAATAACCATTGTTCTTTCTTTCATACGAATGTACATTTTTTCTTTTATTTTAGCTGCATTTTTTTCAAAGGGCTCCTGAGTTGTTAGGCTATAAACATATATTAAGTTGTTTGGCTCAAACTATTACAGAATAGTCTAGGATTGCTGTGGAAAAATTAATAACACACTGAGAGTTTTGCGAAGTAAGAAAGTTTGGAAACCTCTTGCTGAATAATATTTCATCCTATTTATTTTAGTGCTACTCTCTTTTTTTCATTGTCATCCTTTTTCTTCTAGAAAATGTAACACTGTTTGTCTAGAACTCTTATCTCTATATGTGATTAACATTTTGTGTGGACATTTTAAGGTTGAACTGCTCTCCAAATAATTTATTAAAAAACCTGAAATGCCAACCTGTATAATATGGGACTATATAGTTTTTATGGGATCGATATGATCAACAATTTTTTTTAATCGTTGGTCATTTAGGGAGTAAAATACGTCCTCTTATTTATGAACAACCTCTTAAAATATTCTATATTTACTTTATTTCTTATATGATAATTATATCTGAGAAAACAGAACCTGACTGAGGAACTATCTACAGTCATGAATTTATAAATGACGTAATATAAATCAGAACTTGGAATTTCTCAGTCAATATTTTGTAATAAATATCAGGCAGCCCTGCGTTTATAATATGATGTCCATCCACCCTCAAGAAGAATGGGTGATTTATAGCATAATTAACTAACAATGGACAGATTACATCTTGTATTTGATTCTGGACTTACTAAATTGCCCTGATGACAGGACAGATGGTCCGTTCCCTTCAAATGATTACGTTGGTACCAAGATTTTTAAAACACTTCAAATACAATTAAAAACTAGAAATTCAGAAATGAATGAAACGACAGCGTGAACAGATTGGGCCCTGAAGTTGAACGATGAGACTTCCCCGGAGTCGAAAACGGGTGGCGTTGGCAGCTACGTGCCTGACGTGCCTGACGGTCTCCCGGCAGAGCCGTGGAGGACGGTGCCAGCCCCCGGGGCCCTCCCGCCACGGCCACGTGCTGGCGCTCACCTCGTAGTCCAGGTCCAGGTAGTCGAACTCTCCGTTGGTGCGGAAGTGCTGCACGCCCCTGTCCAGGGTAAGGTTGATGCTCCGGCCCTGGCGCTCGATGACCACAGAGTGCCAGTGGTGATCGTCCAGCAGACTTCCGGTCGTCACAGACGTGTGGCCGTAGATGGGGCCGAGCTGGTTGCTTCCTGAGTCGTGGGACGAACAGAAATGAGGCAGTGACACCACAGTGACCCTGGGGGGCAGCGGACTTTTCATTTACAGCCATAGGCCGGCGTTGCCCTCAAAAGTCCCGTCTCCTGACACTGCCGTAGGGCCCAGCATGCTTATAACTACGCTTAAAAACAGTTGCATACTCAAAATACATAAAAGTTATTAAAAATGGGAAACATCTCCTTTAAGAACAACAAAAAAAATGAGCTTTTCTCCCCACGGTGCCATGAATTCCGCTAGATCTGATGGGTTCCTTACAGAGTCAGTGCCCATGGCTCTGGAGCAAAGTGCCTGAGTTCTCACGCTGGCTCCAGCAGCGGCTTGCGCCATCATCCTGGGCGAGCTGGCCGCTTCCCTGCACATATGCTGCCTCACGTGTAAGATGGAGAAAAGAAGAGCAGCAGCTTTACAAGGTTGCTATGACGATTAAAGTAATTAGTACACGCAAAGAACTCAACTTACTTCTTGGCAAAGAGTGAGCACTCGCTACACCATGTTACCTGTTAACCGTCTTTCATTGTTGCTGTTATTTTTATTATCGGTCAAGGAAACACAGCATGACGGTTTCCAGTTCTCATTGGCTCCAAAAGCGGTTAATTTTAAGCACAGTGTAATATTTAATTGCACGGAAAATTAACTCGAGTTATATTTTAAAATAAAAACTTGCAAAAAGGTATCTGTGGCATTAATCTAGTTTATGGCAATAAGGCCATAAATGAGAGTGAAAGGGTGCAAGAATCCAAAATGTTTACTCAAGTCTTCTCTGTTTACCGTTCACACGTTTTATACTGCCTTCTATTTTGCCTAATCAAGTATTGCTTTCCGTGGTCAGGCAAAACTAAATGCTATAAAAATATATAATGGTTTCAGAATAAGTAGAATGACAGAAATAAGAGAAACACACAACTGATTAGAGCATCGAATTCTTTCTTTCTTTTTTTTTTTCTCACAGTTAGGATGCTAATGATGTCTCCACCTGACATTTTCTATAGTTTTCCTAGATCGGATTTTCTTTCCTTCTGGTGATGAAATGAAACGTGCCGGGATTGTGACCATGATTGTGTATGGACATGTGGCGGTGGGGCAGAGAGGGAGAAAGAAAAGCATGAACAAGTCTAAGTGAAAGGACACACTCAATTTTATTCCTTTAAATTACTTTAAATGGCTACAAGACTCAGCAGCAGCTAGATATGCCTGATATTTAGGTAATGGCATTCAAAAGGCACAGTGGACCTCTGAGTGAGTCCATTTCCTTGACTGTCATAAATTCCAGTCAATCAATAAATCTGCAAGTAAACTGCTTTGCAGTGAAAAGGTAATGATCATTCTGTGAGGTCACAGGATCGGGTACTTGCTTCAGAACAGTAACATCACACCTATATAAAGCACATGGCTTTTAAAAGGCTTCTCTCTGTGTTTCACTTTAGAAAAAAAAAAAGGAGAAAGGGTTGAAAAAATAAAGATCCTTAGAAATAATTCAACTGCTCTGTGTGTGTGTGTGTGTGTGTGTGTGTGTGTGTGTATGCATATTTGTTCAAGTGTTTAGATTTTATTTTCTGTTATCAAACCTCTCCCCACCCATTTCTGCTTTTCGTCTTCTATTTAAACTTGTTTCAAAAATGATTTAGAGTGGGGCACCTGGGTGGCTCAGTCGGTTAAACAATCAATTCTTGGTTTCGGCTCAGGTCATGATCTCAAGGTTCGTGGGTTCGAGCCCCACATCAGGCTCCATGCTAACAGTGCAGAGCCTGCTTGGTATTCTCTTTCTCTCTGTCTCTCTCTGTCCTCCCCTGCTCATATTCTCTCTCGCTCTCTGTCTCTCAAAATAAATGAATAAACTTAAAAAAAAGAAACTGTCCTTTTTAGTATAATACTGATTTTCAAAGTAATAAAATTTAGTATGTTTGGACCGCTCAGACTGATAAGCATGTGAAAGAGGCAGGATCTGTTTTCATGTTCTAATCTTTAGTTTTGTAGCTTTCTCCTGGGATGCATTTAACATGAGAATTTCAGCTATTAATATATTTTAGATGTAAATTTTTGTAGAATTCTGTTACTCTTTATAACAGAAGACTTTATGGAATTTGTATGATGCCCTTCAAAAAGTTCTTACATAAATCCTGAAATTTTTAGCCAAACAAGAGGCTTAAAACGCTTGAAAACAACAAAAAACCAAACCAAAGAGTAACTCACTCTAGTTCAACTCCTTTTCCAGGCAATATTTCATTTCTCTGATTCCCGATTCTCCGATTTCTAGTTGATTATGTTTGAAAAACTCGCTTCCACATTTCTTATCTTTTCTTAAACCTATGTCAATAAAACTACTGTCCTTTCTATTCCACGGAGAGAAAGGCAGCAGTAACTTCTACGGGGCGTCAGCCAATATTCACCTGCCTGTCTTCCTCTTCGTGACATCTTAGGTGAATCCGAAACATCAGCCACATCTTTTCTCTTCCTGGTCTCTGACACCACTGGTTCCACCTGCCACGGTCCACTCCCCTCAGGTAACACCATGTAACACCTTCTCTCAATCTCATACATGCAACCCCCGTGTCTAACAGGCAACTGAAATGCACCATGTCCATTTTAGACCTCCTCTATTAGAAGAAACTCATGATCCTTTCGTAGAAGACACTCTATAGAGAAAACAGAGTTGTCTCTACTTCTGAAAACGGCACTTACATCCATTAGGTGTCGAGGAATTCTCTTTCGCTAATTCTCTTTCTTTCTAATTACCAAGCAGGCTGAACTTACCGCTAAAATCATGTCCCAACTAGACCTACTTCCCTGCATCTCTGCTGACGGCCACCTCCGCAAGCCAGGGCCATCGCTCACTTGCATGATGCGGAAGTCTGGCTTTGCCTCTCGTGCAAACGGAAGCATTTTATTTTACAGAAGACTCAGCAAAACTTTTAAAAATAAGATCATGAGGCCACATGGTTTAAAGCCTACCTATAGTTTCTCTTCCTTAAAGAATAATATCTAAAACCTTTACCATGCCGTACAGCATCTTAATAGGATTTGAACAATCCCCAACTTCCAGATTTTGTCTTCTCTCCCACTGACTCATTTCATCCACCCCCACCAGCCTCCTTCCTGTTCCCCGAGCAGGCCAGATTTTCATCAGTAGGGATTGCTACCTTGGACTGCTTTTTCTCCTCAACATTCTCATGGCTAGTTTTAGTCATAACTGAGATCTTAGCTTGAGTATCTTCCCGGGAAGGATATTCCTCAATACTTATTCCAATGTTGACCGTTCTTGCCTCTAGTATCCTTTATCATCTTAGCCTATTTAATGGAGCTGATAATACTTATCATTATTTGAAGTCATTGCTTTTGATCCAGTTGTTTTAAAATAATAGATAATATCTGACTCCTCCACTAGGTCATAAATTTCATGAACTCAAGGACCTTCTCTATTTGCTCAACACCATATCTCAGATATTAGTATAGTACCTTGCTTAGGCCAAGAATGTAATAATTATTTTCTAATGAATAAGTATATGCGAATTAAAATGGATTAACCCACTATGGATTAAAAAAATGAATTGAAAACATAACAGAGGGGCGCCTGGGTGGCTCAGTCGGCTAAGCGTCTGACTTCAGCTCAGGTCACGATCTCGCGGTCTGTGAGTTCGAGCCCCGCGTCGGGCTCTGGGCTGATGGCTCAGAGCCTGGAGCCTGCTTCCGATTCTGTGTCTCCCTCTCTCTCTGCCCCTCCCCTGTTCATGCTCTGTCTCTGTCTCAAAAATAAATAATCGCTAAAAAAAAAATTTAAAAAAAAAAACAAAACATAACAGAAACTGCTTTTTTTTTATAATTTACGTTTTAAGGATTAAGGAACATTAACCTTTTACTAATGGGAATACTAATAAAAGGAAAGAATGGGGCCAAAAGTCAGAACATACCTAGGTTTAAGCTGAAGACCAGCTTGGCTTTTTTCAGTTCCAGGGTAATGTAATCCCCTTGCTGTCCTTCTCCATGCAAGATCACCCCTTCACTTTCAGAGGTTTTAAATTTCAAGGCGATGACATCTTTAAGTGTTTTCATCTTCTTGTTTCTGAATCTATATGGTAACACAACGTGGCCATCAAAGTTGATAACATCAGCCCCTAAAAGAAGAAACAAGTAACATTTTATTTCAATTCTTATATGTCGCTACCCACTGCAAAATACACCCACTTCCAATGGATGTCTGCACAGAATAAATGAGAAAGAAGTTTTTTTCCTGAAAAATCTGGAGTCCTGGTTCTTGTTCTATTTCTTCTTTTGGCTTAAGTGTTCTGAAATAAATTTTATGGAGGGTATTCATAAAAAATGATCAAAGGGACCTTTAGTAGCATAAAATCTTACTTCAATTATAATATTAACAACATAAATTCCATTAATTATTTATATGCTTCAAATATTAACTTGGGAGTCTGGAGTTTACTGGAAAAAAGTAATTTTTTAAAAATCTTTGATATATTATGAGATTTTAATATTATCTTTCTCAAATGGGGCTACTCATGGTTTTTAAATATACACTTCACTCACAAATTTATTTTTTGATATAAGAATAAAGGATCCTGGAATGCAAGGTTTGAGGGTGTACTCATTTTTCTAATGGTTTATATTCAACTCCATTTTCAGTAGCCTTTATGGTAGTACCCAGAGTTTATAGCTAATTGAACTTTAAGAAGCTTCTTACTATTTGCTCTTGGACCTCACATCTGCCTGAAATTTCTTGTTAGCTGCATTCTTTGGAAGAGAGAGACAGACTGCCCATGTTTTTTCTTACCATGAGCAAAGACATCCTTACCCATATATGTGTTACAAGAACAAATATCTAGCCTCATCTCTGACTAGAGTAACTCTAATTTGAGTTTAGAGAATTTTATTGAAGACATAAAATTACATAAACTTTTTGGAAGCATGAACAATTTTGTCACCATCCTTAGAAACAGGTGATGGGGGGGAGTGGATTAGTTTCATAATTGCTACTTACTCACACCAGAAAGAAAAATGAAATGTATCTTACTTATTATGCACTATTGGTTAGTAAATTCCAATCCATGGGATGGCTCAAAGATGAACTGTAATTATTCATATCAAGTTTTGAGTACAAACAGAAGCTTAGTTATAATTAGACCTTTGTCATTAAAAATATTTGTAAAAATCCTTTCCTTTTAGCTTTTACTTTTAAATAATAGAAAACCTAGTCATGGGGCACCTGGGTGGCTCAGTCTATTAAGCGTCTGACTTTAGCTAAGGTCATGATCTCACAGTTCGTGGGTTCGAGTCCCACTTCGGGCTCTGCGCTGACAGTTCAGAGCCTGGAGCCTGCTTTGGATTCTAAGTCTCCCTCTCTGCCCCTCCCCCAGAGACAGCTCGTGCTCGCGCTCTCTCTCTCTCTCTCTCTCTCTCAGAAATGAATAAACATCAAAAACAAATTTAAAAAATAAAACAAAACCTAGTCAAACTAGATAGCTTTAATTACTTTAGAATTACAAGCCTGAATGAAGCCCGCCTCTCAGTTTGGGGCAAGGTCTTGCTAAAGAATACCTGAGTGACATTGGAGAAAAATAATAACAAGTTTAAAGTCTCCTGAAGAAATGTTTTCTCATCTCCTGTCCTAGTTCTCTGGCACTCATTTGCTTCAGTTGCCACAGGGAATACTTTAAGCGGGCCACCCCATGGTAGCTTCAGTGGTGGGACAGAATGTAGTCACCACGGCCACATCCACTTTGTGCGTCACTTGCCATTACAAGTTTTGCTCCTATTTAGTTCTTATTTAATTAGAGAATTGTTGCATTCTACAAAGTTCAGAAAGAAAAATATAACTTTGCACTTTAAATTTTCATCCATATAGTCAATTCATTACCGTCCATAAAAAGACCTTCTTAATCAACAGAATTCTGTTCTTGAAGGCTGTAAATCACAGAGGTTTATTTTACTATGGGGGAAAAACCAACCATTAAATTTAGGCTTCTGCTAACACTGCAAAGCCAATTAGACTTTAGCTTAATCATCTATACTGTCACAGCTGAATTCCAATTGCAATATCTTTATCATCTGTGATGAGAGGTAAGAGAGAAAAAAAGTGGAATATGATTATAAAATCCCAGGTTGAATTTATAATCCAGCAGTCAGGAGAAATTACTTTTTGTCTTGAAAAGTACATAAACGAAAAGTCAGGAGGAGGGAGTAAATTCTGAACTCCAGAAAGTAATTTTGCAGTCAATTTCATGTCAGTGACAGTTGAATAATAGACACATCATTGTTTTATACACCTTCAATATATATTAATTGACATAAAATATTCCCCATTCATCTCTCAGGAAGGAAATGTTCCCTGAGCTTAGATAGAAGAAAGAATTCACCCCTCCCCTATCTTCTTCTAAATCAAAATCTACAATCAGTTCCAGGCACAGAATACCACAAATGTTGGTGCCTCTCGTCCTCACTTTTAGGACAATGGAAAAAGTGAGAAGGATGGGCATGGTTGATCTCTTCATGCAGCCCTAGAATTTTAAGAAACACATAAAGGAACCCTATTCATGTGGACCAACACTCATCTGACAAATGGTAAGTGGTCAATGGTCATTCGAGAAACTGATAGAATGCTCTGCAAGCCAGCTCTCTTGCATTATGAAACCAAAGCTGTTCTCCTATGACTAAGTTAAAACTTGCATATCAGTATGTGGACGTGAGCTTAGAGTGGTCTTTGAAATTACAAAATTCCTCTAAATAATCTGTGATATAAAATTCTTACAGAAAAACATACTGTACACTCTGAAGAGAGTCTGGGATATTATAAAAACTATCAGAATTTAATTCTATTTCCTACAAAAATATATTTAAATTTCATTTGACATCTAATACTATGTTGTGCTTATTTTGGGACAAGCCACCTTCCCCCCCACCCCTATTACCCTGATTGCTTATCACTCCCTAGAATTAAGTTTTCTATGCAGTGATTAAATATGTATGGCTGAACTGTTTAAGCAATCTGAACAACAACAATGGCTAGTCAAAGACTGAATGCAAAATCACAGTGCTTCCCCGATTCTGTTTCTAACAATAACTCAGAGAGCTGGTAACGTGCCCAATTCATCAAAATGTCATGGTAGAGAAGGCTGTTTTCTTTTCTTTTTATTTTAATTTCATTGTTAGTCGTTACTTTCCGAATTTGGATATTTTGGAGGAGGGTTTACCATCTAAAGATTTTAATATTTAAAAACTATCTTTGCTATATTTTTTTTACTAAAATATAATGTATGTTTCCAATTGAAAGGAAATTAATACAGAAACAGAGATGTAGAAAGTAAATTCTGAACATAGGAGATCACCAATATGATCAATATGGGCAAAAGGTTGGTGCACATCCTTCTACATTTTACAGTTATTCATCTACCCACCTACCCACCTATTTAATGTGAGGAATTATCCAAACATCATTCTATATAGATATATGCATAGGTGTGTCTGTGTGTGTGTGTGTGTGTGTGTGTGTGTGTGTGTGCGTGTGTGTGTATGGAGGGGTGGAGAGAGAGAGACAAGAATGTCATTTCCTTTGGTTATGGTTCAGAATGTTGACTGATAAGCAGCTTGAGTTTTGGATAAATAATACTTACAAATATTAGTTGAGAAATTGTATGTTTTAGCTAATTCATGTTTTATTGACCTTCATGCACCAAGCCACTTACATAAAGTAAGCATATATATAATTTGAAATGGTAATTTAGCCTATTTGTTTGAAAGAAATAAAAATGTATTTGAATACAGCACTCCAAAATAAGTACTTAGGAACTACTTCTGATTTCCTGTTTTCTTATAAATATTTCACTTTCTTGCAAAAGAACTGAGAATACAAAAGGGTTAAAGAACAAAATAAATGGGGCGCCTGGGTGGCTCAGTCGGTTAAGCGTCCGACTTAGGCTCAGGTCACGATCTTGCGGTCCGTGAGTTCGAGCCCCGCGTCAGGCTCTGTGCTAACTGCTCAGAGCCTGCAGCCTGTTTCCGATTCTGTGTCTCCCTCTCTCTCTGACCCTCCCCCGTTCATGCTCTGTCTCTCTCTGTCTCAAAAATAAATAAACGTTTAAAAAAATTTAAAAAAGAACAAAATCAAAAGGACATAATTCTATTTTACTGAAATAGCTACTCATAATGTCCATTTATTAATTTTTTTTAGTTTATTTATTTTTGAGAGAGAGAGAGCACAAGCAGGGGAGGGGCAGAGACAGAGGAAGACACAGAATCTGAAGCATGTTCCAGGCTCTGAGCTATCAGCACAGAGCCAGATGCAGGGCTCAAACTCACATATGGTGAGATCATGACCCGAGCCAAAGTTGGACGCTTAACCAACTGAGCCATTCAGGTGCCGCTCATAATGTCCATTTCTGATCATTTGAATCTGCATACACAGAATATGTATGTGTGTGTATATGTATATAACAAATCTATATAATCCATATATACGTATATATATATACAAACATATGGATTACACTCTACTGTTTGGTTTTTGTCAATAAACATTAGTTTTTATGTCACTTTTTTTCCAAAAGAGGATTTTTGCTAGCTAAAAACATACCATCAGTCGGATGTCCAATTTCTTCAATGAGAATTTGTTTTTGCTATTTTCTTTATAATAAAACTTTTATTTTGGAATAATTTCAGATAAACAGAAAAGGTTCCAAAGACAGAACAGGGTTCCCATACACCCTCACTCAGCTTCTTCTACTGTTAACACTGTACGTAACCTGCATGTGTGTCAAATCTAAGACATTAACTTAGAACACTATTCATTGAAATACAGACCATGTTGAGATTTCGCCAGCTTTCACAAATGTCTTGTCTTTTCTTTTTCAGGATTTCACAATGCATTCAGTCAGCATGTTTCCTTAGTTTCCTCCAACTGGTGACAGTTTCTCAGTCCTCTCTAACTCTGACACTTTAGAAGACTACCAGTCTCATATTTTGTTGACTCTTCCTCAGCCTACGTAGGTCTGAATTTTTGAGGAATGGACTGGTGTTACAGCTGTTTGGGGAGACCACCATAGACTTGCGGTGTCATCACTTACCAAGGGAAGCACCATCTCAACGTAACTTCTCCCTAGTGACGTTGGCT